GGAACGTTTCCGACAATTAGTAGGTGGCACATCCACCTGCTGGTTTGTCCTCCTGCAAATGCAGATTGCAAGCTGCAGCCTTCAATGTCCTACCCGTACAGCCCTAGAGGTGACACGCCCGTACGCACATGCAACGTACATTGCTAATCGCACCTCACTGTCATCCCTATTGCTCGAATTTCTCCCTCACATATATATATACCTACTGGAATTTCTCCCTAAAATATATATATAAATAATGTTATAATAAGGACCTAAAAAAATATTCTCCACCAAGATGTTATATTTAATCTTAGGTCCAACACCAACATAGCTCAAATGAATAGTGAATAAAGTATAATATTTCCAAGGTCTGGATTCAAATTTTCACCCCACGTGTCATTGTAATTATTTATGTATTTATTTATGATTTGAGTTCAAACAAATGTGGGGTGGGATCTAGTTTAACCTTAAAAGTACACATACCCTAACCATTTAGCTCAACTTAAAAAACATTAACAATATCTCTTATAAGTATAAAATTCGGATTCCGACCCTTAAATTTATAATTCTATACTCTAAAATAAACTTAAGATTTAATTTGATAAAATTAAAATTTTAAAGTTAAAATAGTGTAAAAGAGAGAAATTTTCTCAAACATCCAACCTATAAAAGAGATTAGGAATACATCCACTCTTTTTCTCTTTTTTTTTGTTTGGATAAAATGCACGATGAATAGTTGAAATTACTAATTTGAGAATATTTACCAATTGATCAATAAAAAGAAAAAGAAAAAGCAAAAATTTCGCATTCAATGAATGAAGATCGGTCTCACACTGAGGAGCTGCCACTCAGTTTCCTCTTCAAAATTCTTCTATAAATCAAACCGTTCCTTCTTCCCCTCCCTCTCAGATTCAGCTTTCAATCAGATTCTAAAACCCCATTTTCCTTTCGATTTTCCTTCTGTCTCTTCGTTTCGCCACTCCTGGTAATTCTCTTCTCCGATTCTCTCTGTGGTTTCTGATTATGATTTTCCCCCCACTTGCGTTTTTAATTCGTTTTTCTGCTCTGTAACGTTTGGAAATGCGGAAATGAAATCGAAATTACGCGTTTGCTGTCTTTGGCGATTGATTTCTCTTCTTTTGAATAATTTCTTTGATTTTCTGCTTTCAATTATGTGTGAATAGTTTTCTTTCTGCTTTCTGAATTCATTTTTCTGTTGTTCATGAATGCTCGTCCCAATAATTCCATAAATTAGGTTCATTTTTGAAATTATTGACCAAATGAAGTGTCATGTGTTTCGATAGCGTGCTGTTCTTTCTTGGACTTTTCTCCTCTGTTTGTTTCTGGAATTGGGATCTCAAAAGTCCCTTTTGTTATTTTATATTATTCACTCTGTTTGATTGCTCAGAAAAGTGGAAAAAGGAGAGAAAATTTTATCCAAATTTTGATTCCTAAACAGTTGACTTTGACGTTTTCTGTATTCTGCGGAATCTAAAAGGGAAGGAAAGCAAAAAAAAGACCCAAATCCAATTATGCCTTGAGATTGATTGCTGTTAGTTTGGATTACTATTTAAGTTATACATTGATCTTCATTTCTTCTGCAATCAATAGTTTTGTATTGTGAGGATGTTGGAGAAGATGGAGGAGTTTGATACGGAGAAGGTGATAGAGGAAGTTGAGGCAATGAGTAAGGAAGCTGGGAGAGTTCAGAGAGAAACTCTCAAAAGAATTTTGGAAGAAAATGGATCTTCAGAGTACTTGCAGAATCTGGGGCTTAATGGAAACACAGATCCTGAGAGTTTCAAGGCTTGTGTTCCGATTGTTACGCATGAGGACCTGGAACCTTACATTCAGAGAATCGCGGACAGCCACCACGCCTCAATTCTCACTGCAAAACCGATCACAACCATCTCGTTAAGGTAGTTTGTTTGTTTAGTTACTTATTTTTTCCGCTCTGTTTTTGGGCCTTGAATATCCAATATTGAATTTGATTTTGGTTTCTGTCGAAGTTCTGGTACTACTGAAGGGAAACCGAAGTTTGTTCCGTTTAATGATGAGTTGGTAGACTCTACAATACAGATATTTCAGGCATCTTTTGCCTTTAGAAACCGGTATGAATAGTTTAGTCCCTTAACATTATGGCCTTTATTCGGAAGTTCAATCATGTTTTGTGCTTTGTTGAAAAGGTTTCATTTCTCTGTGCAGAGATTTCCCAATTGGGAAAGGCAGGTCCTTGATGTTTATTTATGGCAGCAAGCAATTCAAGACTAACGGAGGTTTAACAGCTGCTACTGCCACGAGTAATCTCTACCGAGATCCGAAATTCAAGAGCACAATGAAATCAATCATGTCCATGAGCTGCAGCCCGGATGAAGTCATATACGGTTCTGATTTTCACCAATCACTGTATTGTCATTTGTTGTGTGGTCTTATCTTCCGAGACGAAATTCAGTTGATATTCTCAACGTTTGCCCATAGCATTGTTCACGCATTTAGAACGTTTGAACACATCTGGGAAGAGTTATGTTGTGACATCCGAAATGGTATTCTCACCAGCCGAATCACCTCGCCTTCCATCCGAGCAGGGATGTCGAACCTGCTGAAACCGAATCCCGAATTGGCAGATTTGGTGTACGAAAAGTGCGTAGGATTGAGTACTTGGTATGGACTAATACCCCAACTCTTCCCTAATGCAAAGTACATATATGGAATCATGACCGGATCGATGGAACCATATGTCAAAAAGTTGAGGCACTATGCAGGAGACCTGCCTCTGATGAGTGCTGATTATGGTTCATCGGAAGGATGGATCGGTGCAAATATAAACCCGAAATTGTCTCCAGAATTCGCCACTTTCACTGTGCTTCCTAATATTGGTTACTTTGAATTCATTCCGCTTGGGGAGATCTCCGAGAACGATAAGAGTCAATCGTCTTTAATCTGTAGTGAGTTGAAACCAGTGGATCTTACTCAAGTCCAAGTTGGTAAAGAGTACGAGATTCTCATCACCAGTGTTGCAGGTGAATTTTTCCAATTCATGATACTTTTTCTGTTTACTTCAGTTTCAAAATGTCCCATAACAAGTTTTAGTAACAAGAGAAGGATTCCAGGTATGTATAGGTATAGACTTGGAGATGTTGTCAAGGTCACAGGCTTCTATAACTCGACCCCGGAACTCAAATTCGTCTGTCGGAGAAACCTCCTGCTGACGATCAACATCGACAAGAACACGGAGAAAGACTTGCAGATAGCTGTTGGAGAGGCCTCGAAGCTATTGGCAGAGGAGAAGCTTGAAGTTGTCGATTTCACAAGCTATGTGGATCGATCTACAGATCCTGGCCACTACGTTATCTTCTGGGAGATGAGCGGTGAAGCTTATAACGACGATCTTTTGAACCGATGCTGCAATCGTCTGGATACTTCCTTTGTTGATGCAGGCTATGTTAGCTCTCGAAGAGTCAAGTCAATTGGCGCGTTGGAACTTCGGGTGGTTCAGAGAGGAACTTTCCAGAAGATTCTGGATCACTTCCTGTCGCTAGGAGCCGCGGTCAGTCAGTTCAAAACACCCCGATGCATCGGTCCGGCCAACAATAAGGTGCTTCAGATATTGTGTAGTAATGTTATCAAGGTCTACTTCAGTACAGCTTTCCAGTAAGAGCAACAAGAAGCTGGAAGAAACAATCAAAACATTAATCAGAATGTAAAGTTACAAAGAAAAAGGCTGATTTTATAGTTTCAATGATGCCCTCAAAATATATTATTTGTTTTGGAGAAATGATTCTTCATTTTTTATTTTCAAACAGAATTAGGACTAAAGACATTTCGAAAATAGTTGATAAATTTGAGGGCACTTTTGAAATTTCAGAACTCTTGATCAAATCAAAATGTACTAATTCAAGGTCAAAAAGTAAACTAAGACTTACTCAGACAAAAAAGGTTAAGATATACCATTAGTTCTTCTACTTTGGTTCTCGGATTTTTATTTCTAACACTTTAGACTTAGGTTTGATTTTGGTCCTGCTAAAATTACTTTTACGAATGTCGAAATTATTTTTATTTTAATATAGAATATTTGGTAAGGATTTATAAGTAATTTTGAAAAAATTTAAAATCACCGTGGTTCTCGATCGAAGGATGATTCTCCAAGTGATTTTTTATTAAAAAATTAAAATAAAATAAAATTAGTTTTTGAAATGATTATTATTTTAATTTTCAAAATTGTCTTTTTATTCCTCTTATTTTCACCTTAAAACTCTGAAAATTTGTTTTTTTCTCTTTTCTAAAATTTTTGTCACTCTCCAACTTTATTTATTTTGAATTTTGTTTATGCTCTCTCATTTTTTTTCTCTAAAATTTTCGTAATCTCTTTAAATTTTTAGTTTCTATCTCTAATTGGAAAAGTATATAACCAAACGTTTAAAATAATTATATAAAAATTACTTTCACCAAATCAATTATCATTAAATATATTTTGCTAAATATCACTAATTCTAAAATCATTTTAAAAAATGCCCTGCATACTTTAACACATGAATCCAAAATCAAATCCAAAATCTGAGCTCCAATAATATTTTTGAAAATGAAGATTCTCCCTGGTAAAGGTATATTGTTGACTCAAAATAAAAATAATAATAATAATAATATTTTGGATTTCTTTGAAAGTGTAAATTAGCATAGTGGATACTACTTTACCATTTAAACTATGATGTATGGATCCTCTTTGGATAAGGGGGAAATAGGGTTAGGATTTATTTTTGTAGATCTTATCACTGTAATTCACCCATTATGATTTCAACATATTCTGTAGTCAGTGGAGGGGCAATTTGGATGGTTACAAAGGAAATTGACAAGTGGGAAGACTACTTGAAACTTAGCTATGTGAGGAGTGATGAAATTGCCATGATAGAGACCCATCTCTTTGCTTTGCATTGATGATGCTAAGGTGATTAGATCATAATGCCGAACTATGTTTTTGTTTTTGTTTTTATTTTTTTTTTAATTTGACTCTTATGGGGTGGGAGATCAAACCATCTACTTTTAGCATAATAGGCGTCTAAGTTTGAATTGACACCAACCTGAGTTACCATAAAGACATTTTAAGGCCTCTCCTATAGCTATCTTGAGTGCCACGTAGGTGCCGTGCCATGAGGTACCACGTACGTCTTCGTCTTCTAGCTCAAGCCTCATCTACATAGAAATCTAGCACTGGTGTGGTGTTCTATCGAATGCACTCTGATGCCTACGTGGAACTTAAGGTGGAAGCAAATGTGGATGAAGCAAGTATAAGAAAGGAGCAATAATCTCGAGTGAAAGTCTACTTGAGGGTGTGTGTGCTGAATTCTCACAAGGAATTGTGTTGGAAAACTACGTCTTACTTGGATTAGGGTTCCTCCTCCCTTTTATATGTGGAGAGGAGAACGATGCTTAAAGAGGAGAGAGGCAGACCCAAAGGGTGGAATGCTGCACCTAGGGATCACAGGAACCACCGACATTTTCTTTCACTTTGCAAGTTGCAGAAGAGGTTGCGGCGGCGTCCTGGGGAATCCTCTAGAGTGTATTGCAATTTGGGCGCACGATGTCATCACCTTGGCCGCTAGTGGTCTCTCAGGTTGCCCGGATGCACTTGGCCCCTCAAACCAGTGTGCTCGGAACTGGGTGTGGTGCGCTCAGCCTTCGTTTGGTTCGCCTGTTCCTTATTGACCTAGTCCATGTAGTCTGAATGAAACCTGAACGTGTGTTTTCTTAGATTTACCCGATATGAGTATATATCTAGAACTTTATAATACACTTCACATCGTTCAACTAATACTACTAAATACAATGATAGAAAACATATGTTGAAAGGACCAATTATCCGAATGTCTGTTTGGCAGCTGCCTCCTTTGGAATGGATTAAGTTTAACACAGATGCTGCCCTTCATGAGCGTAACTCCTCATCCAGCATTGAGTTTCTAAACTATAAAGTTCTCTGCTAATTTTCCGAAGTTTGAATTTTACGTATAATCTGTCCTGGCCTTTTAGACATAAAATTAAAAGGTCGAGGTCCTAATTAGACATAAAATTGAATGTCGTGTTTATAAGTCTAAATTTTTAAAATTTTTGAATAGATCAAAGATTTATTAGATACAAAATTGAAAGTCTATTGAATCTATCAGACATAGAATTGAAGCGTAAGAATTTATTAAACATTTATTTTAAAAGTTCCTCGACTCATTACATACATCCGTGAGAGTCCACACATTTCCAACATGCTTCTTAAATAATTGAATATAAAATGGTACTAACGTTGTCACACAGATAAAGTATGAGGCGGTTGGAGTATTTTGACTTCAATATCTTTCGATCCAGGTTAAGTACATGGTTGATGTTCTCATGAACAATGACAGATCCATAATTTTTGTACGAATGTCATTTAAAATTTAGTAAAAATATTTTACAAGCCAGTAGTTCCAAAAATTGTAAAATTTTATATTATAGKACAAGTTTTTACTAACCATTATATTAAAAGAAAACTTCAAATAGTTTAATTGATAGTATAGACAATGTAAAGTTAATAAAAATTTATATTAAATAATTAATATCCAAATTATCGACTTCTTTAAATTCTTCAAAATTCAAAATAAAAATTATATATAAAATGAGAACAATTTAACCTAAAAAATGGTGTGGAGAAGGAAAAGAAATATCAGTATAATAATTTATAAAAAAAAAATATTGACTATATATAGTGAACGCATCAGTTTAAAACAAAAAATAAACTTGTATAAAGTGAAAAGAATTTCTTATAAGTTAAAATGAATGGCGTGGGCTACACAATTTAATATTAGAGTTTAAATGCCACTCCAATTAATATATTTAATGGTAATTGACATATATCTCCAATTAAGAGGTTGTGAGTTCCACATGTTGTACCTTAATTCTATGATTTTTTTTTCATCTTAAAAAATCATGGAAATATATATATATATTTTCCTTCCATGCAACTTACATAAAAACTAAATAGAAAAAAAATTATGAAGTAAATAGAAAAATTGTAAAAATCTCAAAATTAATTGTCAGGAGAGWGTAGCTCATTTATATTATAAACTATTGTTAGGTCCCATGAAGTCACTTATCTTTTTAACGTGAAATTCCTAAYGTTGGGGTTTATGCCCTAAACTCGTGGTTTGTAAACATAAAACAAATATTTATTCAATAAATTGTTATTCATGTTTCTCTTAGGATTGCATTAACCCAAATCCAATAAACTAACATCCGAGGTTAAGTTATGTAACTAGAACAGTATATAATAGATATACAGTATATATTTGATATACARTGTATAYATATATAGTATATATTCGATAAATAGGTGGATAATGTTGGGTACTCTGTCCTAAAACTCGTAGTTTGTAAACAGTGAACATTAATGTGAGGTTATTCMGACAAATGTTGTTAAATGAAAGTGAATTTGTTTTTTAATAAATCCAATAAACTACGAACCCTTGGCTATTATAATGAGTACTTGGACTTTATGTGGAGACATAAACTGGATCAAGTTCAAGTAAATAGCCTAAACAGTCTATAGTACATGGATTAAGTTGGGTACTTTTTCCTGAAGACACTATTGAATACGGCCCGCTTTATGATTGTCACAAATGTTGTAAAGTGTCATAAACGAAGTGATCCTGATTCGTTCGTGTAGAAACATGTGAGCGGGGGTGTTCTACACAATGAGATTGTGTAAGACTGACCCTGAAATAAT